GGTGGGCTCGTGCCGCGGCTGGTGGGGGAAGGTGCTGAGCGGGGTGGCAGTGTTCCTCTCCCGGTTGGGCGAGACGGGCTCCGACTTGATGCTGATGTTGGGGTTGGTGTTGACAGTCAAAGTGGTGGTGTGGGACAAGTGACTCCCTTGTCTGGGCATCCAGAAGGCAGGGGAAGAGGTTGGGAAAGGAGGAGGAGGAGAAGGAGGAGAGCAGGAGGGGAGGGAGGGGGAGAAACAGGTGAAAAAAGAGATAATGGTAAATTTCTCATTATTATCTTTTTCACAGCCTTTTACCCTCCAATACACAGAATCCAAAACCTGCACATTCCACAGGCAAATGAACACAGGATTATGAACCTGGATTAGATTACTAATCTGGATTCATAATTAGAATTATGAATCACTATGACTCCAGAACACACAAGCTGTGTGCTCACCAGGACATGTTGCTGTTGACCTGGGACCTGCAGAACCCCACGAGCAGCACCTATTCTCCCCCAGCACCCTGTGATCCAGCTCCAATCCTACCCACTGTCCCAAAGCAGCAGGAGGAGAAGGACAGGGTGTGACATCCCTGTCCCATGGGTATCCGTACAGCTCTGCCCCAGCGTCCCCGGGGGCTGCACAGACATGGTGGAGGGTTTTGCTCCAAACTGGGAACCTCTTTGCTACAACCCAAAATTTCATCCAGACTTTCCATACTGGTGCAAGAGGTCTGGGTGGCTGCTGGGAAAGATGCTGTCTGCCCTGCCTGGAAAATGTGCTCCAGGCAGTGAGGAAATGAACTCCCTGCACAAAAGCCTAGTCAGTCCACCCCTCCCTCTCGCCGTCTATCCGTCCATTCCTCCATCCATTCACCCGGCACTTCATGCTGGGCATATCAGAGTTTTTGATTCAGTGACTGGGGCAAAGTCACAGATTTCCCCTCTTCAATTCCTGCCTCTTTCTGTCCCACAGTCTCAGGGTCATCTCAGGCAAGTTGCTTAAATCTTTATTTTGACCAAGTAACTTGGTGTGTGGATGCTTTATTTCAGACTAAAAGGAGATCCACTTCAGAAAACCTGCTCCAATATGTAAGTGCTTGTGTTTTCTTCCCTGGAGGAAAGCAATCCATTTGCAATACTAAAAGCCACCTTCTTCCTACACCAGCAGGGCACAATTCCAGACACCTTATCCTGCAACTTCTGTTCCATCTAATGCTGACTCTGGCTGTATCTCTGGCCCCCCAGTTGAGAGCAGGGAGCAATCCTGCTGTGGACAGACAGCAGGATGCAGCTCTTGGAGCATCCCTGAGCATGCCACTGCTCTGATCTCAGCTGGGGACTCTGGGTCACTCCTATGACAGAGGTGGGGACAGGACTCCCCAGACTTCCTGAGCTGGCTGGGCTGGCTCCTCTTGCAGCTGCTCCTGCCCCCCAGAAACACAGCGTGGACCCACCGGGGCCCAGCAGGGAGGAGTCAGAGCTGGAGTTCTGCAGGTTTGGCACCTCTGAGGAATTCCCCATTTCTGTCTGAGTGGCCCTGGTACCTGTTCCACTTACATTAAGTTTCCTAGTGACACAGGGACCAGGTGCTGCTGCTGCGGCTGCTGCT